GGATTCAGTGATGGCAGTTTTCTTTGATGTCGAAAAAGCATATGACATGGTTTGGAAAGAGGGCTTAATGATCAAACTTGATATGATGGGAATAACAGGTTGAAGTTATAATTGGATTAAAGATTTTTTGTTTGAGAGATTTATTCAAGTCAGAATTTTGAAAGTCTTATCTGGAAGATATATGGTAGAAAATGGTACCCCCCAGGGCAGCATCATATTGACACACAGATAAAGATGTATGGACAAACTATTGAACAAGTTAAAGTTTTTAAGTTTCTGGGTGTGTGGTTTGACACAAAATTAACATGGAACGAACATATTCAAAAGATTGACACTAAATGTAAAAAGATTTTAAATGTGATGAGATGTCTAAGAGGATCAGAGTGGGGAGCGAGTAGAGCTGCAATGAAAAGTATTTATATAGCACTGATTAGATCAGTGTTAGATTACGGAACTATTGTTTACGACTCGGCAGCAGAAACTTTATTGAAGAAGCTGGATGTGATACAAGCTCAAGCTTTGAGAATTTGTTGTGGTGCTTTTAAAACGACTCCTGTATCTGCTCTTCAGGTTGAAGTGGGTGAAATGCCGTTACAAATCAGACGAAAGCAGTTAATGATGAACTACTGGGTAAATCTTCACGGTCATTCAGAAGACCACCATCCAACAGTAAAGGTACTCCTTCCGTGCTGGGAAAGGAAAGGTCTAAACAGAGGTGTTTTGCATGGAATAGTGACAAAGAAGCTAGAGAAATGATTTTAAGTCATAAAAGATACATTCCTGCAGTGCCGTTATCAATAACTCCACCTTGGATGTTTCCTGCAGTACTCATAGATTTTTATATACTGGAGTTAATGAAAGAACCTTAAAACATTGTAGCTGTTGTTGAAGATAGACTACAAACTATATCAAGTATTTGCTCCAGTATATACTGATGGATCTAAAGATCCGAATACAGGGAGAACAGGTTTTGCATTCAGTATTCCATCCTTAAACATTTCTGTTAATAGGAGAACATCAGATCATTTATCAGTATACACAGTAGAGATGATGGCAATAGCAACAGCACTACAGTGGATAGAGGAGACTCAAATCAAAAAGGTTATACTTTGTACAGATTCATGTTCGGCATTAAAGTCATTGCAATCATTCACATCTCATAGTAGACAGGATATAGTAAATTAGATATATGAAAATCTGTATAGATTTGAGAATATGAACATCATGATAATATTTATGTGGATGCCAGCTCATGGGGGGATAAAGGGTAATGAAAAGGTTGATGGATTAGCAAAACAGGCATTGGAAAACGAGGATATCATGAATATCTCACTTAGTAAATATAAAGCAAATGTAACAGTTACTGTGATATGATAAGTGTTGCATTAATCTGTACTGAGAGTATTCCATGCAACATTATTTTGACACTGGCTATAATCCTGACGTCATACTCTATACTTCACATTTGTATTTTTATTATTATATATACACATTATGGCTTGTCTTACACGTGTTGCATTAACAGCACCGATGCTGAGCTTTGAAAGAGAATATTAGTGGTTTTATTCGGATGAATTTTGATGCACATGAAATGCAAAGCAGGTTGCTGAGAAAAGCATGGTATGTTTGACAGGTTGGAGAAGATGGAGGACGATTTGTCACAGGCTTTGAATTCTGTCATTCTGGAGCAGAAAGACAGCAAGATGGACACTTTTGGGTAAATATCCCATCTTATTCTTTATTTAGCATATGCTTTCTTATTCTAAACTATTGATATTGTATTTTACTATTGCAAGTAAAATGCAATAGTGCTCAAGAATCACCCCGTTTGGGCTTTAATCCTACAACAATTATTGGATGGATTTCCATCAAAAAGTTTAAAGCAAAACTAAGATTTTAACATATTCTGTCATTATGTCAATGTGCTGATATAGCTATACAATTATCCATTCAGATTTTCTTCTCATGGAGCACAAACATTGTTGTAAGTTTGTCACAAGGTTGTCAATTAAAGACCTAAAGCGCTTTTTTCTAGGGATGCACGATATATCGGCCACCATATCGGTATCGGCCCATATCGGCTCATTTTTTCTGTTATCGGTATCGGCCTGATAAGAAAATTTGGCCGATATCTTAAAGCCGATAAATAATGCATTATTTCCTTCAGAGACACTTCAGATGCGCGCTGTTCGTTTGCAGCCTTTTGTGCAATTGTACGTTGTAATATTGTGTTTATTTGATGTATATCTGATTTATCTCATATAGAATGCGTTTGGTTAAGTTAAAAGAGCGCTTCAGTTTACCAGTGATAAACTCAAACAGCAGTGCACAACATTAATAACTATGATTGGGAATGTCGTGTATATAAAATTCTAATGAGAACATTATTATAATAAAA